ATTTTATTTTTCACTCTTTAAATGTATATTAGGGTATTTATAAAATACTAACCTACTAATAAAAAATTCTTATTCTACTATAATTCTAATTATATAAGATAATTATTCTCATAAAATTCTAATTACATAATACCAAATTAGTAAATAATAAACTAATTAAATAATAAAATAATTAAATAATAAAATATTCTAGCCAACACTTTCTCCCTTCAAGTTGGTACAAAGGTATCACATATGTCTAACTTGCAGACAAAGTTATGAAGAGTCATCATGCAATTTACCAGTACCAATCATCTTTCTTATTTGAAAATATTGATTTTACCATATTTGATGCACCTATATCTGAGGAATGTTTAATTGAGACAGAATACGCTTCAAACTTTAAATCTCTTCGGTTGAAAAGACTCCAACTATTAGTGTGTCAAGTATTAGTTGAAAAGGTTCTAACTATTGGTGTGTCAAGTATCTCATTTGTCTCAACCAAATTTTTTTGAGTTCTCGTAGGTCCACATTTCTTTCTCTCACAACTTCTAGTTGGTTTTCCATGCAACTTCCAGGAAATTTCCTTAATCTTTTTTGGTTTACCACGATAGTCACACTTCTATAGATCTTTGAACTGGTTAGACCAAGCAACTAATCTAGCTTTCTCAAGTGGCTATGTGGAGTATGACATTTCTGATACTTTATTCTTTTTTAACATAAGAATAAACTTGTTGTAATGAGGGAAGAAGATTATTACCAACCATCTGGACCCGCATCTGATCATATTCGGTGAAGTCAAAAAATTATAAATTCATGTTTTATCTATTAATTTCTGAAATTTGACTGCATCTCCAAGGCAATCTGGCTAGAAATCATGATAATAATATAATTTTTGCAATATTCTACTGAATTCAGAAAAATATTAAAAAATAGACGTTTTTTCTTATTTTGTGCCATAAACCTTATTTCAGACATTATAAATTTGAGTATCATTACCTACTTATGAGTATGTGAGAGATGTTGCATTCTATATTTTTGCTGCAATATCAAGCAAGGAATATATTCACGCAAAATAGAATTGCATAGAATTGATGAGTCAAGATATTACTAAGGAGCTTTCAAAGTCTCATATATTATATTCCAAACTAACATCTGTTTTTTTTATATCATCTGTAAAGTACCCCTTCAATTCTCTAACTTTGACAAACACTAAATATGATATTTGACAAAACAAGATAATTAGTTCAATCAAAATTTACGGGATTGATTTGTGATGAGGAGTTATCTGAATTTAAAATCATTAATTTTTTCACTTGTCATTTTAAAATATTAGAAACAGAGAAAAACAATATCCAATAAAGAAGAACAGACCTTCCAACCAATACCAAAGGATGACAAAAGAGTACCAAACTGGAATAATATCTATCATGCAACAGCTCGGTTCGGTTTGGCTCGAAATGGTTTGAAATCAGCCCAAAACGACACAGGTTTGGCTCAAAACGGCTACCTCTGCTCAAAACGGCTCAGACTCAGCTCATAATCGGCTCAGGCCCATCTCAAAACGGCTGGGGATCTACTCAAAATGGCTCAAGATTGGCTCCCTCGACTCACTTGGCTCAGCTCGGCTCTGGACAGATCTGGTTATTTTCTGCCACGTGCAGAGCCAAGAAAAACTGGTCTTCTCTCCCGCAGCAGCTTGTTTTCCTTCACGCAAGGATCTAGGTGGAGTCATGCTCCTTCGGCTACTATTTTCTCGCACTCTGGTCGGCCTAGCACAAATCTGAGAGATCCTCCCTTGCATAACTTCCTCTGCCGCGATCTACTTCACTTCATGCAGAGATGCATGGACTGTTCTATCCAAATCGGGGCCGCTTCACGATCGCTTCGCCGGCAACGCACCATCTGGTGTCATGCCGTATAAGCGGTCGCTTCTGTCAACCACCACTCACCATTGCAATCATAGTTGGTTCTTGCTCTCTCGTTGAGATCTAACTTTCTAGGGTGGTGATGATAGTAGATTTGGATAAGTAGTCACCAACCCAGTCTGTTATACTATTTTAAGATTTGAAAGAAATCTTGAAATTAAAATCTTAAAATAGATTTATTTGACTCAGATACCATATAAATTTTTGAAAAAAATAATAATAATTTTATTTATCAGTTTTTAAATTGTTACGCTTCACGTATTTATAAAATTCTTAACATACTAATAAGAAAATTATTATTCTACTAGAATTTTAATTACATGAGATTATTATTTTAGTAAAATTCTAAATACACTAACATAACTAATTAAATAATAAATATATTAGTCAACATGTGTTATCATAATATCTACTTGTTGGGATTATGTATCTCACCCCTCCTATAACCTTTCAGATTCTAAAGTGATAATTCCGAAGTGACCGCTACAGAGTAACTGCTGGTATGGGGAGAAAGTTTGAAGTTAAGCTCTAAGATTTCATATTAATGTTTTGTACGTTTATATTGTAAGGAAAGAAAAAATTTAGGGTCCTGTATTATATGCATCTAATGTACATATTCTAAGGAATGTAATGCTTCTATGCTTTTGTATTAATGAAAGTTATGTTATTTCACTAATGAATTAAGTGTTAAGTGTATGTAAGCTCTGATATGCCTTATAAGAAGGGGTGCGGCCACAACAAAAATACTTGAGAAATTGAAATAGTTTCTAAGAATTAAATAGCATATTCAAGGGAAGACATTTTTATTTCGTAGCAAAAAGTATCCGAACAATCTCTTGAAGGAGGATATCTTATTCTCCAATATTGATCATTCTCATTTTGAATAATACTATTTTTTCCTATAAAAAATCTCTAAAGGGAGATGGAAAATTTGGCATGTAAACCTATCTCCACACCAATTAACCAAACTTATGAACTAGAGGAAACAAATAAAGATCGAAATTTTGACAAAGAGACATACCAAATATTCATAAGAAACACTTATATAACTTGCTCATGCAAGGCCACCCATTACAAATTCCATTTGCGTCATTCGCAAGTTTATACATCACCAAGCAGATATTCACCTTCATTCACTCTATAAGATACTACATTACTTCAAGGCTAATCCTAACAAAATAAGTCTTTTCAAAAAGAATACTGGATTAGACCTTGAGGCATACACAAGTCCAGATCATGCAAGCTAATCAATTGACTCACAATCTACTATGAGTATTTTACTTCCCTTGAACGTAATCTAGTGACCTGGTGGAGTAAAAAGCATATTGTGGTCGTTAAATCAAGTGCAGAGGCAGAGTTCAAAGCGATGGCATATGAAGTGTGTATTATTACGGTTCAAGATAATTTTAGATGATTTAAGCATCAAGTAGGAAGATTTTTATCGGGTTTGCATCCCCTTGATGCTCTTGAATATTCGATAATATTTTCTATTTAAGAAAAAAGATAAAGTAGGAAGGACTACAAAAATTATTTGCAATAAGTCTGTCATTAATATTACTCATAATATAGTGCAAAAATGACAGAATAAAGAACGTGAAAAGTAGATAGACATTTCATAAGGAAGAGTTGGATACAGGATCATGTTGTAGTCAATATATCTCAACTAATTCTCGACTTCCAGATGTGCTAACAAAATGACTCAATCTTCGGTCTTAATATCAGAAAAATCTTCCTAAAAATATTGGATATCAGTTAAGAAATTTCATCAATCTGGAGATTTCATCTGGTTCAATTTGATTTTATTTGGTGTAGTTAGTTTTTTATATTTTCTTTTTGTAGTAACCATATATACTAAAATATATGCTCCTTCTCAATACACAAGAAATTCAGTTTCTCTAAATTCTAAACTCTCCACAACAGTTCCCAAACAACCCAAACTTCATATAAATTCCTAGCACAAATATCATCATATCTTTGATGGTTACTTACTTGGAAGTGCTCACAACAGCAGTTCTATGACCAAGAACAGTTATAAGGACCTCTATTGCAGCCAAATGACGACATTTATGTCTGTGATGATTTGCAGCTGAAATTTTATAATGCATTTCCACTATGAACTGCATGACCACAATAAATGAAAATTGAACAAGAGAATTGAGATTGTAGAAACTATGTTATATTTACTAAATAAAGCTGGATAGGCACCATAAAAACTCTATCTGCACGGAAAATATTAAGCTTGTCCACAACACCAATACTTGTAGGACAGTCATCCCTGCATGATCCAAACAACAAAATTTTTGTAAGACAGAAAAGATACATATAAAATACAGCTAAAAATTGCGATGGTAGAATGAAAAGCTGAAAAATAAATACAGTGAACCAAAACATAAGGTGTAGGTAATGCACATTTCCAAAAATCCATCGACAATTGTTTGAACTGCACGAGCAATTGTATCCAAAGAAAAGAAAGGAATGGCACGCTCTGATTCGCAGAAGCAAGAGAAAGAATGTGGCTAACAATAGAAACCTAGAAATACAAACACAAACAGAAGACCATATTAGAGCAGTGCATTTGTTCTGATAAAAAAGAAAAATGAAATGTCCGAAATGCATATGTATGGTAGCAGTTACATCTAAAGCCACATCGAGTACCTCCATTTTCCCTCAAACAATGTTGAAAAATACCTATTATTTCAATTTCTAGAAGTATAAATAAAAAAGAAAAAA